TTTTCTCCCTCTTGCTAAACTCAAGTCGAACCCACTCGAAGTGCAAGCATGGCCTGAATCTGGTGATTTAAATATTGGTAACAAATAAATTAATTAATACATAAATAAATAAATCAAATAAATAGATAAACATTAGACTGGCCTAGCTTTGTAGTTATACCCAGAATTGCAGCACCTGAATTAACATGTCAAAAATGATCTAGGTATTTAAACATTTTCTTACATAATTACCGTAGATACAAAAACTTTCACTTTATTAGTGAGTACAAGATACATGTATAAGCTATGCACACCATAGTGTATGGTTTCTATCATACTTCTATAATCGACATGTTCATTGACTCAGTAAATAGCATGTGCTTACTTTGCATTCACACAATGGACTGTCTGAGTGGTATTCATTATAATGTATGGCTAATATGTACTCTCCATGCAATTAACGTGATTGCATTGGTCTGCTATCGTATGTAACGGTAAAAATTTGGACGCTATTTTGTATTTTTTTTTAATTTTAAGGAAACGGACATAATAATTGCCTAGAAAATAATGATAATTTTAAAGAAATTAAAAACTATTTTTTAAACAAAATGCTAATTATTTATTTTGATCTATGAACACAATCTGTAAAAATATTGCTGAAAACGTGGTCACATAAGACAAGTGGTCTTTATACACAGGTTGTTTGTATGTCCCACTTTGGGACTGCCTTAAAGTGGTCACTATAAACAGGTTAACTCTAGATTCATGATGTTGTCAGGGTGGGAGTTATTTATATTCGGTTGTCAGCTGCCCGCTCAACATAGGCCATCATTTGTTTATATTTTTTTTTTTGTGGCGTTTAATTGCCTTAAAGTGTTTCAATAACAGGGACACATACATGATTCATATTTAATAACATCAGCAAAGAAAAACGCTGTTTTTTAATCTCAGGATCGAGTAATTGTTTTCTGCCAACCATCTTAAACAAGTGCAAAATACTAAACAAGTGGAACGTCCTATAAACTGATGGATGCTTGAAGCACTGTCTAAAGGTGGCTTACAGAATCTAATTTATTTGGTCAAATGTAAAATACTTTTAAATTATTTTCGCCTTGAATTTAAAATAAAATCCAGCCGATATACCTTTTTTCCTATATTCTACATTCAGCTCATCAAAAATCAGTGAAAATAAACTCCATAGAAATCACCCAAAAAAATCTTTTCAGCAAAAATTTATCCCAGCTAAAATTGAGTATTTAACATTAAGTTGAATAGGGAATATAAACTGCAAAATCGGATTTCTGCAGATTTCAGAAAAATTTGGTGTGTTTGAACTCAAGCATTTGGTTGTGTGATCATGTAAAATCTGATCAGATTTTTTTAAAAATGGAGACATGTTTAATTACATTTGATTAATCTGACAAAATAAATCTGAATGTGTAAACAATTTTGTCAGATATTTCTGTCAGATATTTATGATTCAGAAGAATCGTATCCAACAAAATCAAAATTAAAAGATCCTCCCAAAATATCACAATTAAGCGTTAGAATTTACAACAACGAAAATTATCAATATGTTTTTGACTTGCAGGTTAGCTTGAGTGCTCTTGTTGCCATAGCAACTTATTTTATAATTTTTCATGGTGATCAAAATAATCAGTGGGAGGTGTGCAGCATATAATAGAAGTGAGAATGTAAACTTTATGTACTAATCCATCGGTTTTGTGAAGCTAACTGAAAAAATGACATGGTTTTTTTCTGTCGCCAACATTTTAATGCCAAAATTTAACCATTTTTATTAAGATTTCAATCATTTCCTCGATAATTTTGGACCACATAGACATAATCTTCCCCTTGACTTTGTCATTCGAAGGATTAATAATAAAATAATGATAATTTGGATCAATTTGCATGAATATTTTTTTTTTTTCTAATCAATTGATTTACCAATAATTTGTGCTGCAAAGCTGGTGACAATAAGGTGCTCTGCTATTAATAAATTTAATAATTATATTATTTTCACTAAAGGTTTATTCAACTTTGTGCAAACATAACTGACTGCAGTGTTTATTTGTTTCAAACTTATTTAGGAAGTACATGTACAAAGCACAAAAATGTCAGTTACCCCTTGTAAAAAATTGTTACAATAGGATTTTAAAATTTTCTGCCACCAGCACACACAAATCTCACAATTTTAATACTATTGACGTACGAGTATCCTCCCTCCAAACACATACACACCAATCCGCACCACCACCACCATCATTACATACTTACATACTGTACCAGGGCTGGTATGTAACATTTTCAGCTATTCACAGTTTGTACTTGAAACAATACATGTACTTGATTACGGAAAAAATAAAATTGCATGACATTGAATGGTAATTACTGTGGAATACTTTATTTTCGCTTGGAATTAATTTTCGCTATTTTCACTGAAGGAATGATTCAGTGAAAATAAAATCCAATAGAATATACCTATTTTTCTATCCATTAAATTCAACTCGCCAAAAATCAGTGAAAACAAATTCCACATAACACACATAAAAAGTCATTTCAGCGAAAATTTATTCCAGCGAAAATAGAGTATTTTACATTAGAGATGAATTTTACACTTAAGTCTGAATGTAATTTGTAACATATTTCTGAACTCCTCCTTGGAGTCATTATGCATAATTGGTATTTATTGGAATTTCCAAGAAAATGTGCATAACAGACAGGATGTAAAGTCTTTCATTTTCAATAAGAATTTATTTCTGCTATGGAGGGGGGGGGGGGGTTGTTACAGGACAGAATATGTAAAGATAAAATCCAGTCAAAATACTGTTTTTTTTCCACATTTTATATATTCAACTCATCAAAATTCAGTTAAATTACCTTCATACAAAATAGCCCAGATGTCTTTTTAGCAAAAAATTAATACCAGCTGAAAAAGTATTTTATTCCCAGGACTAATGATCTCATGTTTCAGTGATGCATTTTTATTTTTAAGTAAAAAAAGAAAATTTTAACAATAACAATTTTAAATTTAGATGATTTCAAATATATTGGAAAGCCACTCTCTGTCTACATGTAAATGTATATATACATTCTTTTGTTTTCTTACTGGTGGTATCTTATTCAGAGTAGGCGATGGTTTTTGACAGACCACAAGCTGATTTCTACATCGCTGCACTCAATTTAATTAATTTAAAAATGATTATGCTGTAGTTTGTGTTTCAATCATGCTACTCTCTGTATTTAATTACTCAGTATAATTATAATTTCAAATATTAATATTTATTTAATTTAAAGTGCTACATATACAAGTACGAGTTGCAAATCTTAAACGATATGAAACACAAACTTTTAACTTCAAAATGGTTATAATATGGTTAGGCAAAGCAGTATGGGAGAGAACTTCCCAATGTATATATCAGTAATAGAAAAACTATTATGATACTGAAAACTGAAATTATGAGTATATTTTAACAATATTATTCACATCAATAATTATACAAATCTTTTTCATCCCATGTTATGATGTCAATGAGGAAAATTGATTTGAAGGAAAAATATCACCATGGAAAGCAGTGTAAAAAAAAAACCTAAGCGTGCATATGAAATATTTTATACTCTTAGGATACAGGGTTCTCAGCATGCATGGGTTAAACGTGCTATGTCAGTGAGTAACATTGTTCTCTGCCATGTTAAATTTTACTGGCAAACATCTACTGTTGATTAATCAATTAAATAACAAACAGTATCAACCTTTTAAATGCTATCATTTTTCTTGCCAACATTTTTGGGGAAATTTTCACTGTATTAATTTTTTTTTTTTACATTTTGAACTAATTCAACATAAGTTCCTATTGACTTGTAAGTCTTCATCATACATTTTGACCAAAAACATTTTTGAAAACGGTATTAAAGTTTATTTTGTGGTGAGAAAAGTTGGTTCTGGTTCTCAAGAGGTTGATTGTGTTTGTAGCTGAATATTACATACGTGTATATGCAATCAAATCATTGGTCAAAAAAACTTTGCCATTAGTGAGCCCTCTGAGAGGATACGACACATCACTGATGCACATAGATTTGCTGTGATACAACTATATATTTGTCCTAATTCACTGTGGCGTTAATGATACAACAGGAACTCGTACATTAATATAGTGATCTTAAAAAATCCTTTTGTCATTATGAAATTCAGTAATAAGAAATACACAATTTATGAACAATATGTGTGAAAGCAATTCAGTGGCTCCTATATTTTTGTGTCTGAATTAAGTCACCTATACAGTCACAGTGGCGGCGGCAACAAATTTTGCATCAACCTTGTGCTGAATGCGTGGCCTTATTAGCGGGGACATGCTCCCCTTTAAAAATTTTGGAAATCTAGACTCTCCGAAGTGCTATTTCCTGCATTTTGAGGGGCAAATTTTGCTGACTCAAAGGGGTTCCAGCTTGATTTTGGAGGGACAACCCCCCCCCCCCCAACATTTTTTTATAGGGTGTAATCGTCCCTCGCCCCTCCTGTGCTGCCGCCACTGAGTTACATACATTTTCCTTCTTGAAGTCCGACCTCCCCAGCAAAAAACGAGATGACTCAACTAGATTTATAATACAGGACAAACTATATGCCATGTTCTTACACTTAATGGGACATAGACCATTTTTATTCTTTTCTAAGGATGTTATGAGTCTAATATTATTATTATATAATAGACACAAAGCCTAAAATAAGTAAAACATGATGACTATTAGCACCTCCAACGTAACAAATAGAGAGATGATTTGAATAGATACGAAAACGCGCTATAAAACATACCTAAGGGACGGACCATTAACACTACGGGCATATGTGAAACATTTGAACATGTAAAGATCAAGAGAAAAGTATACAGTTTTCAAACATCGTCAACTTGCTCAAAAGTGACAGTCAGGGAAGAATAACAAACGTGACTTACGGTTCCTTCAATATACCCCCTACTGTTTCAAATGGTCCAGCCCTTAGATATTTGAGAACTGTGGGAACTCACCCCGAATCCTAGAACTGACAGCTCCACACAGTAAACGTCGTCTTCTTTGGTTTGAATGTTCAAATACACAAGTTCATCTCCTTTCGGAAGGAATTCAGATATAGAGACGCTCTTTACGGCGAAGGCGACTTCTTGGACGGCCGATTCCGCCTCGATTGTCATTAACTTGCAATTGGTATCTCCGTCAGTCATGGCTATGTTGCGCCAAAACAACTACACGAACCAAGCGTGGCTTGTGCCCGTGTTGCTGTCTATGTTGTTTTCCTCGCGTAGTAAACAGCGCCACTATGCGATGACCTTATGGGTGAATGACCTCATCTTCGAATCACGCGGGAGAAAGATTACTATTACTTATGGTTTGCGATTTCCCAAGATTCAAAAGCATTACGTCTAAGAAGGTTAAGTTAATTGGTACTAGGAACCAATGAAAGACAAATCAGACCAAGGGAAAAATCTGTGTTTCTACTATAGGGTTGGAAAACGATATTTTCATTTTTTTGTTATTAATATTTTAACTTATTTCCCAACTACTGTTTAATAAGTTATTTCTATCACAGTCATTTATTCAATACAAACTTATGATTGGCAGGTATTCGAGCAAATAAACTTCTTGTCATAAATACTGACTCAATATTTTTTATATAAATATCGTTTGTTGCATAAATATTATTTTTTCTATAAGACACCACTGTGAGATCTAGTGTATTGCGTGAAAGGCGAGGATTGAACGTCTGCTGCGAAAAAATGATTTTGAATTTCGAAATGCAGACCGTTGAGAAGGGAATATTGAGATACCCTAATTTTATCAAAATTGACCGTCATCAAATGTGTATAGCACATTATGAGGCGTGGAAATATACAAACAAAATAATACTGAGGGTGGGCAAGGGGGTCGCTTGTACAGGTTACAGAAAATAAAAAAGGCATTTTACGTTCCACAGGAAATAAAATGAAAGTTCCATTTACAGTAAAAAAAAATAGTTTTTTTACGCTTTACAGATAAAATAAATTCATAATTACATTTATAAATTACTTTTTTTTCATCAGTTTTGATAATTTGTGTTCAAGAATCAAGAGTCAAACACATATATGTGATATACTTCCCGGTGTTCTATTAAGAACAATGTTTGCACAACGCATTAAATGAAGTGTAGATAATATTGCGTACATGTCGTTGTAAAAGTCAGAGTATTTGGGAACATCGATCGTGTTAACTTCGACTGAACGTAAATGGCGCATTTAGCGAATAAAGATACAAATTTGATCATGACATGTATAATCCGTACAGATACAGAATATAAGGGAGGGAACTTTTGACAAGTTTTATAGTGAGGCAAGACAATGATCATCATGTTATGTTGTAAGCATTTTGTTGACAAAATAACCATTATTTTTTAACAAGTTTTGTATTTGTGACTTGAATACTAATAATATTAAGCTCCACCGTCATCAAAGATGACGCAGCAACGAAGTACTGATGAACTGTCGTTCGTTGCATTTGCATCTTCTTCTTGAAAACCAGTAGCCTGAGTGTTTTGATGTTTAGTATACTACTACCATGAGTGGGTCTCTCTCGGATTTTGTGTCAATATTGTATTTTTGTGAATAGTTTGGGTCATTTTTGTCAATTTACTGCTTTTTCGGACGACTTCTTGAAAACTACTGATTTGAGAAATGTTATGTAGGTATCTTGGGTTAATCTCTGTTAGATGTTTCCTTTTTGTGACGATATCAACTATTCCTAATTCTTAGCAATTATCTTTTTATGTTTCGTAAAAAAATGATACGTGGTCATTATGATTCTTGAGATGTTTCTGGAATCATCAATAGAAAGGAACTAGACAACTTTTTCACTTTTATCCTAGTGAAACAATAGAATAGCTGAATTACAAAAATTAATGCGAAACGTATTATGTATAACGTCAGGCAAAATAATGTCAATCCTTTATTATAATCCTTAAGAAAATCACATGCAAATCACATGGTGTTCGCATGTTTAACTTCCACCTTCACTCGCCAAGACACGCACAAACAGAGGTGCTCGTGATATTTCTAGGTTGTTGTATTTTGGTTATAAATGTATTATTTTTATTTACTGATAGTTTCTGCAATAGGACCTTTGGTATAAGTATTTCAGAAAATCCCGTGACTTCCAACAACAGATAATTTCAATAAGATAATTGTAATAAGTATGTAATATACAGTGGACGGAAGTCGGCCACCATTCGCCACCCCGGAAATAGCCTGAGTTTCGACAACACATATGTTTTATGTCCTATAGATTGAGTCCCATATACATATATTTAGATTTAATTATTGATGATTTTAAATATATTTACAAATATAATAGCGTATTTTCATGCATTTTGTATTTATTTACCAATAACTCGCACCTTACAAGTACGGCGTATTTACATTCATCTAATAATAACTCGTTGCACACGTTGCAAGCATGGTGTTTTTATTTGTATTTATAAAATACAATTATAAGTAATAATAATAATAATAATAATAATAATAATAATAATAATAATAATAATAATAATAATAATAATAATAATAATAATAATAATAATAATAATAATAATAACTTTATTGCATCCTTAGAATTACAAATGTTCTATTGATTTACAGCAATAAATA